TGTGTGTGTGTGTGTGTGTGTGTGTGTGTGTGTGTGTGTGTGTGTGTAATCATATGGGTGTTTGCCTGCATGTCCATGGAGGCCAGAAGAATTAGATCAACTGAGACAAGTGGCAGACGGTTGTGAGCCACCATTTGGGTGCTATAAATCGAACCTGGGTTCCCAGGAAGAGGACCAGTGCTTCTTATATTGAGTCATCTCTCCAGCCCCACAAAGACCTTTTATATCTAACTAGAGACATACAGACAGACAGACTTTGGCAAACAGAATAGGACACTTCAGCAGTCAGCGGGGTTACAAACAGTACTTATGCAGAAACAATCAGAGGATTCAAAGCTATTGAAAAGGGGGCCAAAAAACTATTGAAAGAAATGGTGAAATTCTATTTTTATCCAAGCTGGTGATGACAGGGCTGACTGGGGCGGGGCCTATGGAGCATCTTCAAGCAGAGACAGTAGGCTCCAGAGCATGTGATCCCACTCCAGCTGTCCTCTTTGGTCTGGCTAAGAAGGGAGGTGCCATTTCGTCCTCTACAAAGGGCCTGCTCCCCTGTCACAGAGGAAAGGCCACACATCTCCCAAGGCACGCTGCCCTGGGGCTGGCCACCTCCAGCAAAGCAAACAAAAGTCCTATTCAAGTGGTGGAGCCATGACTGGGGAAATAAAAGTCTCACACAGCCCGGGCAAAAGATCCTCCCACAGGTCAGGTGCAGTCCAGTCCTTCACTAGGGAACCGCAGGACCTAATTAAGCTGTCGAGGGGCAGACATGAAAGGCATTTTATGTTATGTCCCTGTGATCCGGTCACTGACCTCAGAAGAAAGGCCTGAGTGACAGTGTGCTAACCAAGATCCCCTTTTCTTTAGCTCTTCTCAATTCATGAGATTTCTCAGAAATGAGGGGCGCTGAGCACCACCAGGTCTGTCTGTAAATGACAGCCACCCTCAAATGGGGGACCCATATGAGAGCCCAGAGAGAGTTCTAAGATTTGCTCTTTACATTCAATAATTATTTTTCAAAATATATTATAGATTTATGTTGTTTTGATTGACTAGATACTGTTAAAATTATAAAAACATGATCCAGAAAAAAATTTTAACCCAGATGGTCTAAGGAAACTCCAAAGTCTTCTTATATGCTTCAATTTTTATTTATTTTAGTTTTACAGAAATGTGAGACGGTAACGAAGAAGAGAGTTCTATGCATAATAAGACAAAGTTCCACTGAAGAACAAATGAAATACAAGTTAGAAAGGAAAAGAAAAAAATTAAAATGCTGGGCATGGTGGCACACCTTTAATCCCAGCACCTGGGGAACAGAAGGATGGGGGCAGGCAAATCTCTGAGTTCAAGGCTAGCCTGATACACCATACACACACACACCATACACACATAAACCATACACACCACACATACTATACACACACAAAGCATACACACCATACCATACACACATATACACACTCCACACATACATTAAAAAGACATATATATATATATATATATATATGAGCTACATACATACACACACAGATATAAGCTCACATACTCACATGTATTTTAATGAGAACTCATGAAATTTAAATTGCAATGGCATTAAGATGATTATCACAGCCCTGAAATAGCTATGCAGTGTTGGAAAGAATCCTTTATGCGTTTCAACTCAAAATAGCACTAAGTAATAACGAGCTGCAGGGCTGGGGAGATGGCTCAGCAGTTAAGAGCACTAGCTGTTCTTCAAGAGGACCCAGGTTCAGTTCCCAGCACTCAGACAGTGGCTGTCTACAGTTCCAGTTCCAGAGGATCTGGTTCCCACTTGCAGCCTCTGAGGGCACTGCACACACACGGTGCACAGACATACATGAAGCAAAACACCCACACACATAAAATAGAAATAAATAAAAGGTTCTGTAGATACTATCTTTTGCAACTGTTTAAACTACTTTGAAACTTTAGATTAAAATGTAAAAATGCTCTGGTGAATAATGAAACTTAATTTTTTTTTTTTCACTAAGGTCTTTAAACACAAAACTGGTGGAAGGCCAGCTAGACCCAGGGAGCCTTGGCCCTGGAGGGGCATCCTGGAAGGAGTCATAAGCCCCACCATTCTCCTGCTCCAACTCCATATTGTGCAGGCGACAGGCCTCTTCTCGTCCTTTGCCACCATTACTGCACCAGGAGTGGCTGTGGTTCTGTGTTCCCACATCTCCTACTATGACACAGCTGCACCCCAAGCCTCAAGGGAGGTCTTAACACTCCCAGCTTAGAACCCTGCAGTGAGTGAGTCCTGCAGTACAAGATGAAGTCAGGAGCCAGTTGCCCCCGACTCCACTTTTGGGCTGGATGTGACGCATGCAGAGAAACCAGGGCTCCAGCCCTTTAATACTCCATCCCCGTGTAATACCTTTTCCAGGCAACTTCCTTGCATTTCGCTGGAAGTGTGGGCTTTGCTTGATTAAATGACATGGACGGCCAAAAAACCTTGACAGCCATCTTGAAACATTTTCTCCACAATCGTAAGTGTTTACTCTGGCAAAAAAAAAAAAAAAAAAAAGAAGTGAATTTTTATGTTGCAATTCTTTGAACATTTATTCAAATATCAAATAGCCAAATTAAAATAACCCAGAAAACATTGCAAAGTCCCCAGGATCGGGCAGCCTGAAGCACGGACAGCTTGTAAAGCTGCAGGAAACTCTCTCAAGTCCAAGAAGATCTGAGATGGGAGGCCCATGAGAGGCTTTCGGGGTCGGATCCACAGTATCACAAGCCCTCCCCAAAAGATCTCCTTTGCACGAAGATCGGAGGTTGAGACTTCCAGGGTGATATTTAGCCTTAATAAGGCCTGAAGCCCAGAATCGTGCCCTGATTTCCACCATGGGCCTGATGGAATGTTTTCTCTCACAGTCAGATCACATGGGCTGAAGCGTTTCGTCCACAGAAATTAATGCTGTGTCTACAGAATACTGGTGTGTCAGTAAATCTATTGATCTCGTTTTTTTAAATTGTAGAATCTGGGGCTGGAGAAGTAGCTCAGGTGTTAAGTGCACTTGCTTTTTCCGGAGGAACCGAGTTCAGTTCTCAGAGTTCACAAGGCAGCTCACAGCTGTTTATAGCTCCAGCTTGGGGGCGGGGAGGGGGGAGTGGAGGGAGTCTGAAGTCTCTTCTGACTTCCAAGGGCACCAGGAACACACAATGTGCATATGTATACAACAAAGCAAAGTACTCAGACACACGAAATAAAGTAAACTCTAGGATACTCCAAAATCTTTTAAAATGTACATGGTAAAAAAAATTTAAAGCCACATCTTTCCTTGGGGTCACAATATCTTAGGATTACAAAGCAGATACTGCTGAAAACTTAAATTTTCCTGGGGAAAATAGCTGGCTCCTTTTCTGGGAGGACCGGGAAAACAGTTTGTGCCTTCAGAGGCCACACCAAGATCACAATCATTGCAATGGACCCATGGTTCTGAGCAGAAGCGCCTCTGGTCTCCAGACGTCTGGAAAGCATTATTAACCAGGACACTGGTATCTGTCTCAGACACGGCCTTTTTTTCTTTAAAAACTTCAATTTGTTAACTATATGTCTCTTTTTAAGATTTATTTACTTTTATTTTATGAATAGGTACATTTTGCCTGAATGCATTATGGGCACTACCTGCATGCCCAGTGTCTGCCAAACTCTGAAGAGGATGTCAGATCCCATGGAGCTGGAGTTATAGTGAGTTCTAAACCATCGGGTGAGTGCTGGGAACTGAAGCCAGGTCCTCTGGAAGAGCAGCAAATTTTTTAAGCGTGAGCCATCCTCAAACCACATACTTTTTGTAACAGAGTCTCCCCTGGCACTTGGGACTCATCCATTTGGCCAGGCTGGGCTGGAATCATCTGTCTCCTCCTTCCCCCATGCTGGGATTACAAGGCTATGACATTACACCCAGCTCTTCCTCAGGCTTGAATGGGAAGCACTTTATTGACCTAGCTGTCTCCCCAGCTCCTGATTATTATATATAAATCTCTACTGAACTATCTACAGTTACATGGTTAATTGATTGTTGGTATTAGCTTGCACAGGTTTTTCATTACTGGAATATTTGTTATTCCATGTTTTTAGGAAAAGGTCATGTTTAGGTCATAAGGAATACAGATGCTAAAACTTTCCTGCTGAGAATGAGGCTGATGGGGGTAGGGAATGAGCCCTTGGGAGTCGTTAGTAGGGAAGAGCATGACTGGCAGAAGGAACAGCAAAGACAGACTTGAAAATGGAGCGTGCTGGCTGGTGTGTGAAGGAGACAAAGAAGCCCATATGATTACAGTGGAGTGTGCAGCAGACAGAGTGGCAGGTGGAAGGCGACCTGCTGTAGAGAGCAAAGCTCTCTCCTCCCTCTGCGCCACTGTGCCCACAGAACCACCAGGGTTACCTGCTTCAGAGCCTCACCTGTCTGCACACACTCTGCTTTGGCAAATCTGAGTCTGTTCACTGTCTTCCTCAAGAGGCACTTCTATTGGCTCCATCCCTAGCGAACAGAAAGCAGAGGCAAAGTAAGCATCACACAAAACAACTGTGTGAGTGAACGCTCATTGCTATGAAACCTTCATTTTAATGACATTGGGATTTGCTCAGATGGGGAAAGTGGTGGGTCTTAGAAGCTGATAGCACAGAAATTTTCTTCCTCACTGTCGCAGCATGGCGTGGGCTTCAAGGAGCTTCCTGGTGGAACATTCACACTGGGCCATCACACCCACGGTCCCCAAAATGCTTAGATAGATTCCTCTGCTGTAGGAGTCTCCACCTTCTGAAGTTATTGTCCTCTAAGCTACCAAAAATCTTTTAGAAACAGACAACCAGTATATTGTCATACTGCCCCAAATGCATCTAATCTTATCTTGGAAGCTCAGCAGGGTCAGGCCTGGTCAGCACTTAGATAGGAGAACTAGACAGGCAGGATGATACTGTAACGATGCTGGCAGAGAGTGTGTCCTTCCAGAGTCAGATTAGTCATGCATCAATAATCACTATTGCTTTAAAAAAAAAAAAAAAGTTGCAGGGCTGGAGAGATGGCTCAGCCGTTAAGAACACTGGCTGCTATTCTAGAGGTCCTGAGTTCAATTCCCAGCAAGCACATGCTCATTCACAACTATCTGTAATGGAATCTGATTCCCTCTTCTGATGTCCATGAAAACAGAGCACTCATATACATAAAATAAATAAATCTTTTTTAAAAGTTACATTTATGGGATTGGAAAGGGATTCCAATGTTCTTCAATTGTTATATACGCCACGCACATACAGAATTAACCTATACATGTAATAGGTTAAATAATAGCATATTAGTATCCTGGTACATGAACTGAACAAAAAGTATATAAAAAAAAGAAGGCTATATTCAACAACACTAATTTTTTAAAAGATACAAAAATACTCAATACGATACTATCTAGTCAAACCTAAGAAATATTGCTACATAGTATTTTTTTTTTCCTCAAGTCACCAAGGATAATTCTGGACAAGGTAATCCACTAACATATCACATTGATGATGAGACCTAAGCATGTGTGCGTCAGGGGCCCTCCATGGCCATTTGTCTAGAGAAGAGCTGGACCCCTGACTCTGAGACAGAGAGGGAAGGACAACAGAACAGCACAAGAGCAAAAGCACCATGACCTTGAGAAGAGGCAGAAGGGGAGCCATTTCCAACAGGGCTCACTGTTGTTTACCCCATGCTATGAATGTGCCATGGTGGGAGAAGGAAGGTTCACTCCAGGAAGCTCTTTCATGGCAGAGCGGAGAGGACCTCTGAGGCTAGCCGTAGGCCTTAGGGCTCTTCAGCCCATTGGAGCTACAGGTCTCGTTAGGCTACTAGTATATTATATCTTCTAAAAGCCAAGATGTATCTGGAGAGACACCCAAGACACTGGGAAACATGAGGCTTGAACAAGAGAGGACTGCTTTTTAAACGTGCCATCCTTCTATTCAAAAATACTAAATGAATAAATAAAAAAATAAAAATTTTAAATTGCCTAAAATCTGCAACAACTCAGATACCCTTCAGTGAACGAATAGATAGATGCACCCACTACATTCACATTTAGACACACTTGACTTAAGTGGGTCTCAAAACTATAATGCTGAGTGAAAATAAAAAAAAAAAAGCTGTTTCTAAAGTTCACACATATATGATACTTTTGATTCCATGGCCCTTTTGGTCATCAGACATTTAGGTTGGAGAAAGAGAAACTACAGCAGGGTAGCATAATGCACTTCCCTTGGGGTGATGGACTGTTTTGCACTTGAGCTGTGAGGGTGGTTACCCAAACATGGGCATGTGTTAAAATTCTTACAGTAGAACAAAGGGTCAATATCAGTATTCACTTTGGAACTCTAGAAATATTGGCCTGGTTTCAGGAAAACTCAACAACAGGACCAGCAAAAGCACAGACAAGAAGCAAAGTCATGACATGGACGTAGAACATTATGAAAGTTCAGCCACAGCTGGGTAGACAGTATTCTACAACTGTGGAAGGCCAAGACCCAGGAGTGATGTAGAAATTTTCATATATGTGTGTGTGTGTACATATATATATATGAAATTTCATCTATATGTACACATATATGGTTGTATAATAATGGTTATCATCATTACCATTGGCTCAGTGGATAAAAGTTCCTAAAACACAAGTCTGATGATCTGAGTTTGACCCTGAGATCACACAGAAAATAGTCTCAACACACTTACAAAGTGATGGGAGTCAGACAGGAGAATCAAACGCTCAGGGTCCAGCTAGCCTGGAATACACAGCACACAGCTGCAGAAACAAGAGAGACCCTGTCTCAAAAACAAAGTGGAAAGAGAGAACTGACTCCCTCAAAGCAGTTCTGTAACGCCCACACACACGCCACAGCACATGTGTGCCCACACTCACACGCGCACACACACACATACAATAATTTTTAGAAGGAAAAAAAAGAAATAGAAAGAGAAAAAAAAAGAAAGAAAGAGAAAATCTTGAGAAATCAAGCCAAACATTAAATTCTGTTAAAACTGGGTGGCATAGTTGTATGTTATGTTAATTTTACCTCTATGTTGGCAAACACTATATAGCTGGCAAACACTCTGTAGCTGTCTAGATGAATTAAAACATAAAAGTTTTGAAATTCAGTTCTAATGTCTGCTGGTCACATTTTGAGGACTCAGTGGCCACTATGACCAGCAGCTGCGAGCTGTAGAGTACAGATGGTGAACACTCCCATCATCATAGAAAGTGCCCTGGACAGAGCTTTCCTATATGTGGATGGCTCACTATAAAAATCAAGAGGAAAGAACCAAAGCCTAAGATCATACAAAGCATGATGGGTGAAAAGAAAGAAGGCAAGCGTCAAGAGCCCTGAGCTCCCAGGCTTTGTTGTCTCTCCCAAACATCGCTTCACTGACTTGAAGATAATGTTAACATTCAGTGAAGAGAGACCATCAGGTTTCTGTTTTGTTTTGTTTCCTAATCTGAGAATGAGAGCTGCCTCCAATGATCACTCTGTGGAAATGAACCATTTTACACCTTTGGCTTTGATGACCATGATCCTCTGCTGCAGGTCGATGAAGGGCAGGATCAGGCAGAGCCGTGGCTCCTGCTTCTGACTCAGGCAAACACCATTGTGATTCACAATCATCCAGCTCCGGTCGTAGAGCAGCCCTTGGCTCCTTACAGGCCACTTGGTCACCTAAACAAAAGTAGCAGATTTAGGTTAGGGGCTCCTCAAAATCATTCATGTAATTATATCAAAGAATTTCCTATCATTATACAAATACAGATGGTCTTCACGAATTCAGTACATGCTCTCGGAGGATGAAAGGAGGAAAATGAGCAACAGAGAGAGCTTTGCAAAGGAGATGTGGGAAGGTGAGACCTTTCCTCCAGTCTGCAGTTCCAGTCTCCACCCTTCTCCACGGATCAGGCAAGGCATATGTATGTAAAATATTCAGAGTGCAGGACTCTACAATAGCAATGGTCTGTCTTAGGACAAGGTTAGCATCCCTCCCTCCCCATAGGTGTCCATAGATCCTGCTTTCTGTATAGCCTTCCACTGTAGTGGACATTGTCTAGGTGTATCCTAATGCCACAGACATTATAGACATGTGACTATACCGAATTGGCCGCTGAACTGGCCCACTTCAAATGCGTAAGTTTTCTTGGTGTCCTAGTTTCAGCTGCTGTGACCAATACCCTGACCTTTGCTTTGGGGAAGAAAGGGCTTTTTCAGCTTACAATTCCATGCCACAGCTTATCATTTTGGGGAAGTCACACAGGCAAGAGCCTGGAGAGATTACATCACATCCAGTCAGAGGAAAGAGAAATGTGCCCATGCTGCCTGCTTGCTTACTGCTTATGCTCAGCTAGCTTTCTGTTCAGCTAGCCCATATTCAGAGTGGGTCTTCCCACCTCAGTTAATAATCAAGAGAACACTCCACAGACATGCCCTCAAGCCAACCTGAGCTACAGAATTCCTCACTGATGTTTCCTCTCCCGGATGACTCTCAAGCTGATAATAAAAAATTAGCCATCAAATCTGCATTGTTCCTTTTTGTACAGAATTTAAATACCAAGATATCTATATGACCAGATCTTGTACCCCAATGCCATTCACAACCTAAAGGAGTGGGACTCCTTAAAGAACAGATTGAAGACAGGATATCCAAGAAGAGTCCTGGTGAGGGGCCAGTATTGATGATGTAGCAGAAGCCAGAGGCCTTGAACCAGACCAGTGACTCACTGAAATGATTATTTGCAAGAGAAGCTGTTTTGGCAGAACAGTATACTTGTGACACACCATGACACACTGCAAGAAGTTTGTTTTTCTTTTGGGGGGAGGTTACAAGGGAAGAAAGCAGATATAGAGAGATGGGGAGATAAGTTGATTGGTTTGGTTTTTTTTTTTGTTTTTTTTTGTTGTTGTTGTTGTTTGGTTTGGGTTGGGTTGGGTTTTAGTTGGTTGGTTGGTTGGTTGGTTGGTTTTGGGTTTTCGAGACAGGGTTTCACTTTGTAACCTTGGCTGTCCTGGAATTCACTCTGTAGACCAGGCTGGCCTCCAATTCATAGACATCTGCCTCTGCCTCCCGAGTGCTAGGAGGACTAAAGTTGTGTGCCACCATCACTCGGCTCAATAAAAAGTTTTACAGAAGAAGAAGAAGAAGAAGAAGAAGAAGAAGAAGAAGAAGAAGAAGAACTGAAGGGATAACCACCTCTTATTGAGCCTCAGAGTCCTGCTTATATCCCTGCCTACACTTGACCTATGAATGCAGCCCATCTGTGAGAACAGAACAACAGAGAAGGCAGAGTCCTGCCTGCTCAGGAGGCATGAGCTTACGTGCTCACTGTATTACTCACCTTCTTGTTGTGACCAACAAGCTGACATTATGGAAGTAATGTCAGTAAGGAAGCAATATAAAGAAGGAACTCCTTCTTTGGGCTCCTGGTCAGAGGGTACAACCCTTCATGGTGCAAAGGCACGGTGGTGGGAACAGCTGGGGCCTGTGGTGGCAGAAGTGTGAGGCTACTCACTCACAGCTCTACAGACCAGGAGGCAGTGAAGGCACAGGAGCAGAGTTGAGCTGTAACTCTCAAAACCCACTTCCTCCAGCTTGAATCCACCTCCCAAAGATCCTAAACAGTGTCCATAAACAGTGCCACCAGCTGGGGATGAACTGTTCAAACACATGAGCCTGTGAAAGCAGGCCTTTAAATAACTATGATCTCTACATGCCATCTGAGGAGCCAGAGACTGTGCCATCCCAGGGACTCAGGAGTCTGGGATCTTTGTAGCCTCAGGTTGGGCACAACAAGAAAGACTGTCTTTTAGGTAAGGCTGGCTGTCAGCCAAGGCAAGCCTCCTGTCCCCCAATGCAAGGATCACCCAAAAAGCATGTTTGTAGGTGTGTGACATAACTCAGCATCTGCAAGAGATTACTTCCAGGATCCCCTAAAATCGCCCAGGTCTGTGGGCTCTCAAATCTTTCTTATTAAGCCAGAGTGTTTGCAAATAGCCTATGTACACAGCACCACCCACCCTGCAAAATGTTTCACATCTAAGTTAAATACATTACCCAGCACAATGTAAGCGGTCCATGAATAGTTGTTACATTGTATTGCTTAGGGAGTATTCTTATAGCTGCAGTTTTTACCAATCCGCCATCGTTATAGAACTCATGGATCAAAATGACCCACTGCACTTTATTTCCACATGGAAGACAGGGCAGAGAAATCACATGAGAATGTGGAGCTAGATCAGCAGACCCAAATACAAATCTTTGCAGGTGGCCTAAACAAGGTGTGTATCCTCAGTCCTCTCCAGTTCTGTGATGATGAACTAGCGATAATTTTACTATCTCTCAGCCGTTTTTAGGGTCCAACGAAACAAGGCATGTCAAATGCTTGAGCAAAGTGCCAGAGCATCCAGCCAGCTCCAGTCACAGCCAATTGGTGCGACCACTAGGTATTTGCCTCTCAGATGGCCTTTGGCTGAAGGGATGACTCAGTTGGTGAAGTGTTTGCTGTGCAAGCAAACCAAGTTAGGTCCCAGTATCTGTGTAGGTGTGGTGGCATGGACTTGTGATCCCAGCACTGGGGAAGTGAAGACAGGAAAAATGACTGACTCCAGCTGACCAGCCATTAAGCCTACTAAGAGAGACCCAGGCCAGCGAGAGGCTCAGTCTCAAAAATCAGGTGAAGGCAGCCAAGGAATGACAGCTAACATCTTCCCCTGGCCTCCACATGCACACATACACATGTACACACACTTCCATACATACAAGACCCATACCCACGCAGAAGCAGGGTCCTCTGGAGGTCCCTGTAAACAGCATCATGTTTAGAAACTCATCCCTAGCAAGGGGGCAGGAGAAAAATGGCTCTCCAAACAACAACATTCTGATGTTTGATTTGAGTTTTGACTGCTTTTCTCACCTGCTACATCTTTCACTTTTCTCAAAAACAAAACAAAACATGATACATTGCCTCAAAACAAGTGGGTGGGGGAGGGGGGAAATGGTTCTTAGAAGAACAAAGCGGCCATCTGTGTGAAGCCCTTACCTCAAACGCAGCACAGGATTTGATGGGGTAGAGGTAAATGTTGGTGACAATGTGGGGCCCACGGTCCCCATTCAGGACACTTGCAACTTTCTCTGGAAGGGTCTGCTGAATGCTGCTGGCTTTGCTCGGAGACAGGCGCAAGTCTACCATATTTGCAGTAAGGCAGGAGTCACTGCAGACTGCAGGGTCTGTGCAGGAACCTTCCTGAGGTGAGTGACAGTCACTCTTTGAGAGTAAGGCTCCAGTGTCAATGGTGCTGGCTTGAGGAACAGGCTGGCCACCAGGTGAGCAAAGGCGGATAGCGCTGATGAACCTGAGAAAGGCCTGGGCATCTTCCAGTGTGGACATGTATCCAAAGGAAATCCTCACAGAGCCCGTGGGACGGCCGTCTATGATGTCAACATCATCTCCACAGACATGACCAGCCTAGAATTAGCCAGACACGTCAGGCAGGGGAACTTGTGCTTCGTGGGTAAATTGGGAAGATATTGTAAAAATGGAATTTTTTTTTTATTATTATTTTAAAATAAATTCAGGAAAGCAGAATTTCTGGATATCTGAGAAACCATTCCTATTCTGCACATCCGGGGACACACTGCCTGGGGATTGCTTTAGTTATCTGTGAATTGGAGCTGATGCCAACCTCAAGGACCTTTAAAGACATGAACAGCATTTCCCAGAGGGCTCGCCACACAGACCAAAGTTTCAGAAGCACCAAGAGCTCTGCTCCCCAGTCTTCCCCGGCTGAGACAGAGCACCTGCTGGCACCCAGGACAGCCTCTTTAAGCACCAAAGGGAGGCTGGCTTCCCTGACAGCAGCCCCTTGAAGAGGAGAAAGGCCAGAAACACAGGACCAGCCCACGGCCTCTTGAAGACCTAGGTCAGCTCAAGTGCTCCCTGTCAGGATGGGGAAGGCAGGAGGCACTCCTTCTCCAAGCCCAGATGCTCCATGTTTGTCATGGACAGTATTATTATATTAATATAATATAACACAGTATTATTATTCTATATAAATATACGAACTATTATATCTAAATATAAAATATGATATTTATATTATTTGTACTTTTATATTTTGTACAATATATTTTGCCCATAATCATAACCCTCCCCCCAACTCCTCTGAGATCTACACTCCCCTTCCCCACCCAACCAACTTTGTGTTCCCTTTTTTTTTTTTTTCAAATCTATTTTTCTATGTATAATTTATTTATTTTTATTCTATGTGAATTGCTGTTTTGCCTGCATGTATGCCTGTGTGAGGGTGTCAGATTGGGTGTCCGATCTTGGAGTTAAAGATGGTTTTAAGTTGCCATGTGGGTTCTGGGCTTTGAACCCAGGTCCTCTGGAAGAGCAGCCAGTGCTTTTAACCATTGAGCCATTTGTCCAGCCTCTGCGTCTCCTCTTTAATAAACCTTTAATAAGTACAGTTTGTGCTGCCCGTATGCTCTTAGCTATGTGACTTTCACCAGGAGCGTGTTTGACCTCCAGGGGTCACATCCCCTAGTAGGCCCAGTCTCTTTTTCAAAATAAAATCTAGTTCATAGGCTGGAGAGATGGCTCAGTGATTAAAGATGCTTGCCACACAATCCTAGTGACCTGAGTTTGAGCCCTGGAAACCTATGCAAAGGTGGAAGGGAAAAAAAACAACACTAAAATGTCATTCTCTAACCTCTACACATGCCATGTGCCACATGTGTCCACGTACATAACATGCATACACATGATAATAATAGAAATAATGAGAATAGTTAACTGGGATCTAGCACATGCCTATTCAGTGGCAAGAAAAAAAAGACTCAAGTTAGCAACTATTGCAAAACGCATAGGGCTCTTTGCCACTTGCTATGGTCTGAAACCGGAATGCCCCACATAAGCTCATGTTTGACACCTTTTCCCCAGATGGTGGCGCTATTGGGGGAGGTTGTGGGACCCAGCTGCAGGAAGCAGGTCACGGCAGCGGTTGCTTGGAGTCTCTTCTTGTCATACACCCTCTACTGCCCTATCAGTTCCGAGGTGAGCATCTCTCTTCTGCCGCACTCCCACAGCCGGGACGTTCTGGCCAAGCACCGGGGCCAATGACCATGAACCGAACCCTCTGAAACCATGAGCAAAGCAAGTAGCTCCTCCAGGGTGAGTCACTTACATTGGATTTTTTTGTCACAATAATGAGAAACTACTGCCAGGAACCACAACGGCAGAACCAGAGAACCAACTCCAGCGAGTTGTCCTCTGACTTCTACACACACACACACACACACACACACACACAAAATGTAATATTTAAAATTACTCTCAAAGTGAAAAACGAATCAGAACATATTGCCACAGAGCTAATAACTTCAAGTACTTTCTGTTTTCTCAGCCCCTTTTCCCTAGGGTCCATCCACAGAGTGGGCTCGGGAAGATGAGCCAGAAGCAGCCTCCACCAGTCTCAATGACTGGCCACCAACCACACAGCCTTGCCGACTGCAGTCTGTGCGGGCTACAGGGCCTTGTACTGACCTGGAAATTCTTCTTAACCATCTCTTCACTTAGCCCCAGGTGCCTCTGGCAGGCCCCCAAGTTACAGAAACAGCCAGTCCTCAGGTGGATGTTGTAGAGGCTGGCCATCTTGTCTACCTGCGGATAAAGGTAGCGCATCAGAAACGTCTGGTCTAACTGGGATGCCCAGGAACAGCGTCGAACCTCTCTCTCCCAACAAAAAGATGGTGGGTCTGGACGCTTGCTTTAAAATTTGCAGCTGTTACATTGCGGATATAAAACGCCCCTTGGGGCTCAAGCTCGTGTGCTTGAATTTGGTCCCCAGCTGTTGGTGCTGTTCTGAGAAGTTGTGAGACCTCTGGTAGGTGAGGCCTCCCTGGAGAAGGTGGGCCACTAACCCGTGGGCCTTCAGCTAATAATCCAGCCCTCCCTTCCTCTGCTGAACGGTGAGGATGTGAGGCGCCCCGCCGCAAACGCCAGCTACCATGGAGGTGTAGCCAGCCCCTCCCTCATCTCAGCGATGGACCATATATATCCCCTAGTCTGTGAGTGAGAATAACCTCCAATCCTGAAGTGGCTTTAGCCAGGATTTTATCACCAGGACAAGAAAAGGAACCGATATAAAGATCTGTGGGTTCATTCAACATTTTAAAAGGTGTCTTAGAAATCGGAGTGTATCCAGTTAAAGTACAGAAGTGCACTCGAGGAAATAACAAATCCAGACGGAGGTCTAAGGTAGGGGCCCATGTGTTTCCAGCGAGCCTCGGGAGAATAACATTGAACCGGGGCCCTTTCAGCTCTTTCACGTTGGCCACCACCGGCTCTGACCACAGAGCAAGCACCAGTGAGGGGCTGTTCTGGGCAGCCCCAGCTTGGCTCACAGCCCGTGTCATGAGCAGCATATGGATGTTACCGGGTATCTACGTCCATTTTCTAATTTCTCCAACTTTAGGTTCAATTAGGGTTGCTGCCCAATCCAGGTGTTATGACTCTCTGCCGCCCTCTGGAGGCTATGGGTGTGTACCGACTGGTCCTAAACTCCGGGGCTCAAAGAATTCTCAGCCTCAGCCTCCAGGGTAGCGTCATGCCACAAAGCATAGCTAGGAAATAGACTTTGTTTGAAGTGTAACAAAGACAGACGTGTTCTGGGATGTTCGGGGGAAATAAGCAGGGTCTTCCAGCTTAGGTTAGTCGGTTCTTAGTGCAAACCACAATTTCCATTTTTCCCTGTTGGGGGAAAAAAATCCACGCAGAGAATGCTTTGCAGAAACCTTTTTTTTTAATTGTTGCGTACGATTTATTCACTTTGTATCCCACTTGTAACCCCCTCCATCATCTTCTCCTGGTCTCTCCCTCCCTCCCTCTTCCTCTCCTATCCCTCTCCCCTAGTCCACTGGTAGAGGAAGTCCTCCTCCCCTACTGTCTGACCCTAGCCTATCAGGTCCCATCAGGACTGCTTGGATCCTCCTCCTCTGTGGGCTGGCTAGGTGACCCACCAGGGAGAAATGATCAAGGAGCAGGCAACTCAGCTCATGGCAGCGACTGTCTCTTCTCCTCTTACTAAGGACCCTACATGGAGACTGAGCTCTCTATGGGCTACATCTGAGCAAGGGAACTAGGTCCCTCTATGGTCTTTGGTTGATACATCAGTCTCGGCAGTCCCCCTGGGATCTGCTTTTTTTGGTTTTGTTGGTCTCCTTGTGTGGCTCCTGTCCCCTCTGAGTACTTTTATATCCCTCTTCTTCCATAAGACTCCCTGTGCTCTGTCCAAAGTTTGGCTGACAGTCTCTGCATCTGTCTCAATACCCTGGTCTTTTAGAAGACATCTGTGGTAGGCTCCAGTCCTGTTCCCTCTCTTCTCATCCTGAATGAGGTATCGCAGAGAGACACAGAGAGACACACATGGCATATACTCACTTATAAATGGATATTAGACATATGATATAGGATAAACATACTAAAATCCACAGACCTAAAGAAGCTAAATGATAAGTAGGATCCTAGGGAAGATGCTTAATTCTCATTCAGAAGGGAAAACAGGATAGACACCAGAAACTACTTTTAATCAGCCCACAAATCCTTTGAGGTCAGTGCATGCCTAAACTAAGGCAGAAACAATGATTTCTTCAAAGCTGGGTGAATTGTTGATGCTACTTATTTATTTTTTAGACCAAGCCTTGACTGTTATCACTTTAAAAAGCTGCATGTTTTATTTATTTATTTATTTATTATTTATTTATTGTTTTTTGAATCTATGCTTGTGCCTTGAACACTTTTACAATGACTTTCTGCTCCTCAATAAGGAAAGCCAGCTTGATCCTGTCATGGACACGCTTGGCACACATGGACCCACCATAGGCCCTGCTAACGGATGTGCTTCTTTGTCTTAGACAAAGGACTTCAGAAATCACAACACAAACCCCTTCACAATCTGCTGGGCACACACTGCATGCAGATTTTGGTGTTTCCCCAACCTTCTTGGTATACAGGTAAACAGTCCTTTTTGCCAAGGGTTTGAGACAGCCTAGTTTTGTTAGAGGCTATATTGTAGGAGAGCCTACAACAGTGAGTCAAACACTGGACCGTTCTGAGTGCCTCTAAGCACCGTCCCCATGAGAGATGCTACTTACTTTTTAAAAATGAAAGGAGGCTCTGGGCTCCACCTAATGCCAGCAAATGATGCTGTGAGATGGCCTGGCACAGCGCTTGGCTGTGTGGTGTCCTAATGTTCTGTCTTAGGTGCCTTCTCATTCAGGCAGGTTGTCATCTGTGCCCTGCCCCTCTCTCTCCACCTAAGTAAAGAAGGCTTAAAAACATACACAGCCAAGCTTGAGCAGAACTGTGTACCAGTGAGAGATTGTAAAGCCCCTGGGCTGAGTGCAGTGGACGTGTCTAATGCCCACACTCAGGATGTGAAGACAGAAAGAGAGAAGAGTGCCAGGTCACCCGTGGTGTTACAGCGAGTTCTACAGCCTCTGAGTGAGGCTCCCTCACCCAGCCTGGGCTTTCTCACAGCTCCTCCTGGGGACATTTAAGAAAATGTCAGAAAGGCTTCCAAGTTTAGACAAGAATATTTCTGCTATAAAAGGAGCAGTAAGAAGAATACAGGGAAAAGTGGACCTCATGACTTGAACCAGGTATGGTGGCTAACACCTGCAGTTCCAGCCCTGGGGAGGGAGAGATAGGAGGACTGCCAAAGGGTCTGAGAGGACTGAGCAAAAGGGTCAGCCTGGGCTAGAGTGAGACCCACCCTCAAATAAATAAATAAATAAATAAATAAATAAATAAATAAATAGGATCAAAGTCCCACCTGGGAGTACCCGATGATATTCCCATCATCGTCCAGCACATTAAAGTTGATGATTGGACCCTGGACATCAGGGCTGCTGAACTCGGAATCGCTGTAAATCCGCACCACAGGAGCTCCATTGGGGTAGTGGAGGGAAGACAGGGCAGAGTAGGTATACTGTGCCAGCGCGAAGGTGTGCTGCTGTATGTTCTCCATGCCACCTAGGGAAGAGAGCACAGGGAGGCGTGGCCTTAGACTCGGGCTTCACACACAAGTCATTCACTCCTGTCCAACGCATACTTACTACAACTGGTCGACCCAGACTTCCAGTGAGTGACTTTAAATATAGCTGTCCTTGTGACAAAGTCGATGTATTTTTAATGTTTTCTTTTATGTTTTGCCTGTGTACCGTATGTACAGTACCTGCAGAAGAGGGAGTCTCATTCCCTGGGACTGGAGTTATAAACAGTTGTGAGCTGCCATGTGGGTGCTTGGTATTGAACTCAGGTCCAGTACCAAGAGAAGAGAAACCAATGTTCTTAACCACTGAGCCATCTCTCCAGCCCCAAAGCTCACACCAAATATGTTTGTCTTTGTTGTTTCTATTGAATATTTCCAGAGGAATTCTTGTTACATTCTTTTAAGTATATAATTATATATACATTGTATGCATATATATATAGATATATTTATATACATATATTTGTAATCACATACATATAGTTAATTGAACATTTAGTTATTTAAGCCCTTTGTTAGCCAGTGGCAAATATATATTTTTTAAAAATCATTTCTTGCCCTTAATGGTTAAATTAAATTTTTGTTCGTAATGGTTAAATTGTTTTAACATAGTGCATAGCAATTAAGGCTACTGCTGCCAAATAAATGAAAACATGCTAAACAAAGTGAATAAAAGTATTGTACTATTGTGTCTCTTATATCTAAAAGTGTCTGGAATAGGCAAATTCATATAGACAGAAAGTAGATTCGGAGCTATTCCTCATTCCTCAGGAATGAGGAAGGAGGGAATGAGGAGATGCTATCTAATGAATAGCATGTCAGTCTAAAATGATAAAAATGTTTTGGCTATGACCAGTGGTGAGCAGTGTACAGATGTGAGAGGACCATCAGGATGGCCCAAGGAGTGAAAGCGCTTGCCGAGCACACACAGACTTGCTGATCTGAACTTGACACCCAGAACCCATATAAAGTCAGGTGCAGTGATGTGAATCTGTAATCCCAGCACCGCTAGTGTGATGGGAGGTAGTCACTGGAGAATCTGCTGGAGGCCACAGGCTGGCTAGCCTGGAGGACCCAGCACAGCAGCAGAAAGGGCATGATGGACCCTGCCTCAGGCCAGGGAGAAAAAGAGAGAACATACCCCTGAAATGTGCCCTCTTACACACACACACACACAAACACACACACACACACACACACACACACACAAAGGGCTTGAGAGGTGGCTCAGCTCTTGCTGCTCTTGCAAAGGACCCAGGTTGGGTTTCCAGCACCCACGTGGTAGCTCACCACTACCTGTTACTCCAGGTTCTGGGGAATCCATGCCCTTTCTGGCCTCCATGGGCACCAAGCATGCCGGGGGGGGGGGGGCACACACATGTGCAGACAGACACTCATATATACAAAAAATGCTTTCGGGTGAAAATGTCAACTTTATGTTCTGTAGGTTTTGTTTCAGTTTATCTTTAAAAGAAAGAACCATCTGATAGGAAAATCATGGTGTGCCATGTTGCAGACTGCCAACCCTATCCCTGTGAGGCCCTGACTGGGTGGTTAAGAAATCCTTGCAAAGTGCTCCTCTTGTAATGGTGGTCTTTATCATCTTGTTTGTCCTGAGTCCTGAGCACTTCTCACTCACCTCCTTTTGTTTTCGTCAGGGCAGTGCTCCCTTCCAGGGATCCCATACACCCACTGCTGGGCTTGAAGCTGGGGACCTGAAGGGTGCCATTCATGCGATGAGAATGAAAGAGGAAGAGATGCCTAGCCACTATGTCACAGACATGATACACCCTCACACACACACACACACACACACACACACACACACACACACACACAGCCATGCCACATAGTTCAAGCTGCTCTGGAAAGAATTCCTAAGAACATAGTACCCCAGTTGATGCCTGGCTCACCAGACAAAATTTACACATGCCTTCATGCCCATCCCAACAGGAAGAGGAGAGACATCTGTGTCTCAGCCCCTAGAGCTCTTGTTAGAAAAGAGCATGCATCATAAAAAAAAAAAAAAAAAAAAAAAGCCAGTGAAAGAGAGTGACCAGGAGCTTGAGCTCAGGCATTAACAAGACCTGGGTTTAATCCTTACTCTCGTGGGTCCCAGCTTGCCAGTCTGGTAAAGTGGCTAATCTTTCTGAGCATGCGTTCCACTGTGGGGCTATATGGTTTGTCAGCAGCTCCTCTGTGGGGCTATGGAGAGAATCCAGGCAGGTGAGAGCTGAGAAGACTTCAGGAATGGTAACACACCGGGCCCAGGGTTTCAGGACCATGCCTCCACAATCACAGTTGTTAATCTTTGACCCCTGTTAAGATGTGGTCGTGCCTGGAAAAGCAAAAAGCCAGCCCTTCCAAGCCCTCCAGAGTACCCTCAGACAGTTAGACTCAGACTTCGCTGTGCAAAGACGCTTGGCACACGTCATGCACTTCCACAGACCTTGTCTCCTTCGCCGGCACCACGCCTGTGCCTGGGACCCAGGCAACAAAAGCTAAGTCCGCTCGGGGAAGTATGCCCACTGACTGACCTGTGAGACGCTCCAGAGCATCAAATCCATGTTTCAACGCTATTACGTCAAGGAATGAGATGGTGCCATCTTCGAACCTGTAGGGAACAACACAATCCATGTGCGTCCTGCGCTATGGGAGTACAGTCGGACAGACGCTGTTAATAGCTCCTCCCTTCTAGAGCCTTATAAAACTGGGTCTCCCCACCATGGGAAGAGCTTTGGATGCCACGACCCACCTGGCTGCCTCTGGCCCTGACCAGCCCTGCAGCCTCTCAGGCTACTTCAGACTTCCTAGGGTGGGCTGGAGTAGTGATGGAGGGTGCTAAAAGACAGTCACCACCTTGAAACACCAATGAGATATACTTTGCAAGTCTCGAGAGGAATTTGGACAAAACTGGCCGCAAGCTCCTGAAATACTGTACTCTGACCACAAGAGGGCACCACTGACAGGTCATCAAGTCAAGAGGGTCCCACTGAGCCCCGGAGACGCCTTGAGAAGAGTGTCTTGTTCCAAAATGTCAGGAAGCACCCATTTGTCTTAAGGATGAAAATCTCATTTGTATCAAAGATACGAGCCTTCCTTGTCAAAACGTTTGCTATGTTTACATTTCATAATCATTCCATTCATCAGCATTTTCACTAGGTCATCCTTCATGGTTCGCTGTGCCTCAGGCACTGTTCCGGGTGCTAGGCACACGGCCGTGAACTGATAGGCAGGCTCTTTTCCTCCAGCACCATGGCCTATAAAACAGGGAACAAGGCTCAGCCAACACAGGCGGGGAGAACAAGCAGCCATCACACCAAGGCAGGAAAGTGCAAACTGCAGAGAAGGTGTGGCCAGGCTGAAGGGTGGAGGCTAAGTAGAAGGGGAGAGGGGAGAGGGGGCAACTTGATGGTTCCGAGGGAAATGGCATCCTACAGAGAAAAGGGAATCTGCAGGGTGTTTCACAGAAGCCCAGCACACTACCGGGAGTGGAAAGGACACGATCAGGGACAGTGGGCAGATGTGACATGAGGCAGAAATGCTGGAAGGGTCTAACACGACTCTAGCAAAACCCAAGGAGACCAGGATGGGGACAGGAGGATCAAAAGTTCAAGGTCCTCCTCAGCTAAACAGCAATGGCAGAGCTAATTGGAGTTTTGTGACCCAGTATCAAAAAACAAAAACAAACCACTGGTAAAGGGCAGTCTACAAGGGTGTGAGGGGAGACTGTCACAGACATCCAGATGAAGGGGGCCAGGTAACAGCAGCCGTGTTCTGACCGTAAGATCTAGGCGGCTGAGAACATGGTTCATTCGCCCTCCATGCTGTTTCTAGTTTTAGCCTGGGGCTTGCAGCGGAAGATGGGCTTAAAAAGGCAGGCGGTACAGTCTGCTTTCTGGGAAATCTAGTACAAGCTTGCCAAAAGGACTCCATCTGAATCAAAGGAGTGGTCTGATGCAGCCCAGCCCTCAGACCCAGCCGTCTGCTGGCTTTCTCTCCCACTCCGTTTCTCCCGGCCTTCTGACCCCTTAGCCAGATTAAATCATAGTTTTAATTTACACTGTGCGGCGCTTTGAATGAGAACGACCCCCACAGGCACGAACGGCTGAGTTCTTGGTGTCCCAGTTGGTGGAATGGTTTGGAAAGGATTGGGAGGTGTGGCCTCCTTGGAGGAGGTGTGTCACGGGGGGGGGGGGGGGTGAGCTTTGCAGTTTCAAAAGCCAAGCCCGGTCTCAATTTCTTTGTGCTGAGTGTTTGTGGATATGGTGTAAGCTCTCAGCTATTGCACCAGCGCCATGGCTGCTCGCCTGGGGCCGTGCCTCCTGCTGTGACGATCATGAACTAACCCTCTGACACTGTAAGCAAGGCCCCAGCTAAATGCTTTCTTCTGTAAGCTGCCTTGGTCACGGTGTCCCTGCACAACAATAGAACAGTAACTAAGACACAGTATATCGCAAATGCTATTTTTTTTCCCTCTCATTTAGTTAGGCTAAATAATAAACCACTACACTTGGGTTCAAAAGGTTTTACATTAGCATTCCTAGTTTAGGGGTAGGAAGAGTTAGTTATAGCTTGCTTTCTTGGATGACCTTGAACTGAAATCTTCCTGCCTCCACCTCCCAAGGGCAAGGATGACAATAGTGTGACGGCACACAGGCTCGTGGTCCTATATTAGAATATTCATTATGGATAAGTCCTAAATGGAAGATATTTCCAACAGCCTCCTAACATGTTCTGATGCCCATTTGTTTACATGAAAGAGCGTAATGTTCAGAGAGGTCAAGCCAAATGCAGCCACAGCTGCTGTGTGCGGAACTATTCCATATCCCTATGGCCTAGCAACGAGCCATATAACTAACCCTGGCTCTACCACCAGCGTGAGACCCTGAGCCTACAGCTGAATGCTGGGAGTGGAGGGTGGGGATAAACCTGAGCTGTCTTCCCACCCCTCACCCCCCCAGGCCTTCTCAGGCACCAGGTGGGTAACTAGTTCCCTACCCCAGCATTCAGGTGTGGAGCTCACTGTGGCTGCTGGGAAAGTGGCTTTGCTGTAAACTGTTTGCACGTATTTCGAAGTAGCGTCTTTTCCGATCACTGCCTGACCACTGTCCTCACTCAACAGCGCTCTGAGGCCAAAGTCTGGCACCCACCGCTCTCACTTCCCTGCCGCCTTTCACTCGTTCCTCTTACAGCTCTCACCTGCTGATCCACTCCTCCACCCCCGTGAAGAAGCTGCACACAGAGCAGAGTTCCCAGAGCCACCCAAAGCACCCTCCGGGGATCCGAGCCCCACCCCTGACTGGCCTACCGGTGACATCAAACTCCCTTGGCCTGGATCCACTTTCACAATCTTATTCGTCACACGTGCCAGCCCGCCTTAGTGAAAGACAGGGGACATTCCACGGCAAGGTTACCTTTCTGCCACCGATGCCCTCGGGATGTAAAAGTCCTCTCCCGCAAGGTAGGCAGCAGCAGTCCCTCCTCCGAAGTAGCCTTTCCTTAGCAGAGGAGCCACACGCCTATGGACAAGCAGAGCACCCAGGCCTGTGGGAAGCCCAAAGATCTTATAGAAGGAGATGGGGACAAAGTCAGCCCGGTGGGCCGACAGGTCCAAGGGGGACGTGCTGACGTAGGAGGCTGCGTCCAGCAGCACGAACCACTTCCCAGGCACGCTCGCGGGGCTCCTCCTCCCAGACTTGACCTCTTCTATCCACGACAGCGGGTATCTGGTGCCTGAAAAGTTACTCTGAGCTGGGTAACCGAAGAGGTGTGGAATCTGACAGTCGGGGTCCCGGGCTCCAGCACCCTTTTCCACCGCTGACCACATGTCCTCTGGCTTGACTGGGGTAGATGTGACATTCATGGCTGCAGCCACCTTCCGCATTCCCACCACAGAGGTGTGGTTGTCAGTTAGGTAACAGAAGTGACTCCCATCGCTCTCTGCGGCCCGGGACACCCACGGGAATGCCTCTGCCACCAGCCTGAGGGCAGCTGTGCTTCCCGCCGTGAAGATCACGGTGTAGTCCTCTGGGGTAGCGTGAAAGTGAGTCAGGATCCTGGAGGGAAGCACAGTGTCACAGCGGAGTCTCTGCTCCATGGTGAATGTACTCAGGAGGGCATCTCTACCTGCCAGGGACACTTAGCCACAGTTGTGTAGTTCAGGCAGGACAGAGGAAGCCATGCTTCGTAGGCGGGCCTTGAACGCTCTATTTAGCAAAGGACAACCTTGAATTCTTGAAAAGATCAAATTTAAACTTCTCGACTCTGGGAGTCCCAGCTCCGCTTGGGCACAGCAGAAATCTGCAACATAGGGCTGGGACTGAAGCTTGCTTAGAATGCATGAACCCTGGATTCAGACCCCAGGATTTTCATAAACTCAAGGGGGTAGGTACTGTGCCCTGTACATGCAGAACGAAGGAGTTCAGAGCCCGTCCAAGATACAGGAGATCCTGTCTCAAAAATAAAAAGAAAAGAAAAGGAAGAAAGAGAAGAGCAGGAAAGAAGGAAGGAAAGAAAAAGAAAGGAAGGAAGGAAGGAAGGAAGGAAGGAAGGAAGGAAGGAAGGAGGGAAGGAGAAAAGAAAAGAAAAGGAAGGGAAGGGAAGGGAAGGGAAGAGAAGAGAAGAGAAGAGAAGAGAAGAGAAGAGAAGAGAAGAGAAGAGAAGAAAAAAGAAAAGAAAAGAAAAGAAAAGAAAAGAAAAGAAAAGAAAAAAAAGATCTCCAGCATACAAAGTAAGTTCCAGAGTGGCCTCAGGTACAGGACCAGACCTTCTTAATAAATAAATTATAATTTTTAAAAAATCTGTAAGGAGGCTGGGAAGATAACTCAGCATTTCTTGCTGCTGCAGAGGGACCCAGGTTGGTTCCCAGCACCCACCTGCAAGCTCACAACCATGTGAAACTCCAGATCCAAGAGTCCTGACTCCCTCTTCTGACCTCCATGTGCTTGAGGCATGAACATGATGCACATAAATGCATGTGGGCAAAACACTCATGCACATCACAGAAAGTCAATAAATCTAAGAAAAAGTGTCAATCTTTAACAACCTGAATATTATTTGAAAACACCTTCGTCTCTGTACTGCCCCTGCTCTATCAGAATAAAAATTTCAAGGCTATTTACTTATTCATTGATTGTTTGTTGTGTGTGTGCCTGAGTAGACGCCTGTGCACCATGTGCTTGAAAGCACCTATGGAAGACATAAGGCATAAAGTCCCTGGAACTCATTATAGACACCTAATGAGCTTCCTTGTGGGTGCTGCGACCCACACCTGGGGCCTCTGTAGGAAGAGTAAGTGCTCTTAACCTCTGAGCCATCTCTCCAGCCCCTGTCACAAGGAACTTTGAGTCAGCAGCCTGTTTTACATTGCTTTTACTCCTGGTGCTCTGATCCCAAACTGATACCACTTTCGAATTTGAAACAGTTTGAATTTTGATGGTTTAAGTAACCCATACCATGGGGAGGTTATTTATCAGAAGCCAGTTATTACACATGGAGAGCAATTAAAGAGCCATCTCACGTGTGAAGATTAGTGAAAATGATGGGGTAGCCGAGAATGGTGGCCCACACCTGCAATTTCAGCCCTTGGAAAGTGAATTTGGGAGGATCTGAGTTCATGGCCTGCAGGATTGGAGTTCACAGCCTGCATTACTACAAAAAGAGTCAGAGGCGAGCTGCAGGACTCCCTGTCTCAAAATGATAAGGAGATTGTGAATAAATAAAAATGCCTTACAAAACAATCTATAAATGGGAAAACCAGAAAATGGCGCCCGGGCCACTCCTGTCACTCCAGCCCCCGATTCAAAGCCACTGACTTGTGTTTCTTGACCCGTGTTGAACTTACTCTGCCCCTGTCTTCTGGCCTGCTAATTGTTGCTTTTTAGCTGACTTTTTAATGAAGGCCCCTGAGGAGCGCTACGGGATCCAGGCTTCTACTCAGAAGTCTGCCCACCTAGGTAACCAGCTTAGACAGACATCCCTGTGGCTCACCTGTAGCGGACCTGCTCCACAGTGTCATGGGTGAGTTTGCTCGTGATGTTCTGGCTGTGAGGATTACCTGGCGGGTTACAGAGACAAAGTCTTAGAGTTATAATGTAGTCTCCCCCTGTGTCCCTTCAAAGCCTTCTCCCTCTATGTCTCAAGAATTTAAAACACAAAACTCTCACATAGTCCTGCAATTTCACTCTTGGAACCTTCTCAAAAGGAATAAATGCTTATATCCACACAGATTACACAAATGTTCATACCAGCTTTTTGTTCATAAAGCCAAATTTTGGAAACAGCAGAAATGGGCAGTGACTGTGAAAAGACAGGCAAAACACAGCAATCTCCATAGAGTGGGCAACTATTTGGCAATTAGAAATAAAACTATTAGCTATGACATGAATGTATGCTAAGCTTTTTATAGTGAAGAAGATACTGTGCAGGCTTCCGAGGGGGGAAAAAATGCTCACTGCTGCAATAGTGGCATGACTACTATGAAGGCAACCAACTGCTTTCTGATTGAGGGCACGGGTGCTAGTTCACATCTGGAACCATCAACCTGGTCAAAAGCCTGTGGCTAGGGATGTCACAGGCCCCATCGGGGAAGCTGCTTTTGTTATTCTGATAAATAGATGCAATGTGTCTGTCAAACTTCCTCCTAAAAATTAATATTCATGCCCATAGATCAGTGATATTCTCAGCTTTGGTCAGAAAAGCTTCTTTTGCAGTGAGTGGCAATTACTGCCATTACTTGTCAAAGTGCTGAGAACAAGTGGCTTTTGAGTGCTTAGCCACAACTGGGTCATCTATATCACCCTTCCAAGGCTTAGGAAACATCATGTAAATGGCAACAGAAGGAATGTAAGAGCCAGAGGAAGAGTGTTGTAGGATGCTGTCTTCGAGGCATGACTGATAAGTCCATTGCTCCCTAGAATTTATAGCACCTGTGATTCCAAGTATAAGACCTGCATAATATTGGGTCTAACAGCATTCCGTCATGGAGAAGGATAGGGGCTCATAAGGACCTAGCCATCCCCGGAGACCTATATACAGTTGATGGTTGATGAGGGAAAGAGAGACATTTCCTTCAGTGAAGTAGTGACTGGTAAGTTGCCCATTGTCCTGTCAATAACCTCTCAACCATTCTCCAATAAGCAATCCTAGTTAAACTCATTGGCTCACGGCCAACCCCCAAAAGACATGAAAGTTGAGAAGGAAGGAGTCTGGAGAAGTGGGAAGGGGACAAGTGAAGATCGTAGGGGTGAAAATGATCAGGATACATTACTTATGCTTTGATAAAATTGTCATAATGGTAATCCATTATTATGCATAATTAATATATACTAATAAAAGTTTTCTTTAAAAAAAACACACACAAGCAAAAGACTCCAGTCACAAGAAGCTGCATGCTGTATGATCTCATGAAGAGGCCAGTAGAGAGAGAGAGAGCACCTGTGTGAAAGTGGTGAGTTAACTGGCTTAACTATGAATGGCTGGAGAATCTCACGGAGAAAGAAGAACATCCAAATGACTTATAGTGATGGTTGAATCACTCATTGACGGAGAACACCTAAAAATTACTAGAGATTTGGCTCAGTGACTAGGAGAACTTGCCACTCTTCCAGAAGACCTGAGTTCAATCCCTAGCATTCAAATGGCAGTTCACAACCATCTGGAACTCCAGTTCTGGGAACCTAACACCCTCTTCTGGCCTCTTCTAGCCTCTGAGTGCCCTGCACAAAAGTGGTATCTAGACATACATGCGAGCAAAACATCCATACACTTAAGATAAAAAAACAATTAAAATAATTTTTAAATCACTGAATTGCACAAATAACTTAACATATAAATTATAACTCATAAAGCGGTTAAATAAGAAAACCAGTCTGCTTATTTGAAAGACAAAATGGGACCTGGGAAGACAGGAGACCAGAAGTCAACACAGAGCCAGCCTGGCCAGCCCCAAGACTTTGCCTGCAAATTCCCCTTAGGTGGCCAGGGACTGTGTCCATGAATTCCTCCAGCTACCAGATGGAGCCCCACCTCCACTGAATGAGGCCTCTGTAGATTTGCCCTGTCATTCCCACCACCTCTGCAGGCTCTGTCTCTGCAGAAACAGGCTGTCCTCCTCCTGCAAGCACTGAAGGGGGACTAGAGTCAACAGTCCCGGCCACCTACTGGCAACAATGAAGACCCACTCAATCTCACCTTCCCTTTCATTGACTTTGAGAAATTTTTTTCAACTTCTTTGTGTTCCCCTGTGTGTTCCCATAATTCGCTCCCTCATAATTCCTTTAGACATGAGCCCTGTGGTGATTTGAATGTTCAATGAATGTAAAACTAGCTGGTGGTGCTGTTTGGAAAAGTTGCAGAACCACTGGGAGGTAGATCTTTACAGGAGGAAGTGGATCAACAGGAGTGGGCCTTGAAGGTTCACAGCCCCCCTTTCCTTTTCTCTCTGCTTCCTGACTACACCAGGATGTGACCTGACGCCTTCTGCTCCTTCTACCTTGCCCTCGTTGCCATGATGAACTGTCAGCAAATGTAAACCTTTCTTCTTTTAAGTTGTTTTTTGTTCCGTATTGGGTCAAACCACTTTTTTTTAAAAAAAGTAACTAATTCAAACACTGATATCTGGAAAGGCCTGGTGTCCAGGGCCAGGCACCCACATTCTCAGAAAAGGACAGGACATGCACACTGATGCAGGCTTGGCCTGTTGGCTTTAATCTTCTTCCCTAACATCAGAGGGTCACACTGGATGCCTGGCCACTGCAGCTACCACACCTTCCTTTCACATCAGCTAGCAAGCTGTGGGGCTTGGCACACACTCTCATTGCCTTTCCTCAGATCATTTTTTCTAACCCTGTGTGTTTAGAAGCACCTAGAACTTGAAATTGCCACCTCTTGGGATAACTGCTTTTCCACAGTTACAGCTTTTGTCAAGGTTGCAGAAGGAGAATTTCAGGTCTCTTTGTAAATCATAGATGAAAATCAAGATAAAAATCCCTCACTGGCGCTTTCTCAGAGGACTTCGTCAGATTTAAAGGTCTCCTGACTGCCCAGAGTGAAGACTCTGTGCATGTCTATAGCATAACAGGACTATTTTGGACAGGGGCATTTTGGGATGGGAGAACTTGAACTTGGGCCCTGGAACCAAATTACCTAGAAATATAGCTCCAGTGGCCCTATTTCCCCAGCTCCAGAACTTTCTAAACGTGTAGCATTAGGCTAGTTACTTGCCCTTTCTGGGGTTCCATTTGCTCACCTGTAAATCAAGATACCATGAGGCTTTTCCTGGGAAGACATAGCAACATCAAAGACAACATCAAGGCCAAAGAAAATACTCCATCCAAGGCCAGCTTGGTGAACTAGTGAGTTTCCTGAGGTTACTCACGAGAGTGTGGGTCACCATAAGAAGTCCCCTGGGCAAGTTATAGGCAACTTTACCAACTACAGAATAGTCCTGACCCTTTCAATTGCTCTTCTCTTGAATAAACCTCGGGGATGGCGGTGGCCCTTGGGGAACTTAAGAACATTACTGAGTCCCATGAGCTCTCCCATCAGCCTCCTACAAGAGACCATCAATAGGCCCCATCCTGTGAGGGACACAGTCAGGTGACCACAGGTACTCTCACTCAAGATGGAGGCCATGTCCAACCTGGAGGAAACAGCTACACTACATAAGCTTAATAACACAATCTATGGCCCCTAGCGTGTCATACAGATGGGTGGCAATAATCCACAGCACACATTCAGGATGCACCCAACGCATGACAAGTGCTCAGTCAGGGAGTGGCGCGTTTATCAACTGGTCGCCATTGACATTGTGCGTCTCATCACCGCTCTTGCTACTAGGTTTCTGACTCCCTCTCCTGAGTTATCTCCTGGGCACACTCTGCTGCTGCTGAAACCCTGGATGACTGACCATACCTCCTAGAAATCTCACCACTGCTGCATCTCCTACAGTGCGCTAAATGGCCCCGTCTCATCACCCTATCCATTCAGACCTCTGCTGTTCTCCTCCCCTCCGGGGCCCTAGATCCTGGCTTTTGCTGTTACGACTGCCTGCATGGTATCTCTTCCTGTTGTCTCAGTTCTGATTCATTATCCAACATCTGCTCCCCTCCCAACTCCTCCAACGTGCACACTGCCAACCCTACTGTCTTCCTGTAAGTGCAGAGGCCCATGATGCTGGCGACCTTTGTGCACAGCCTTTTATACAGTTGCTAAGCACATTCAGTTAGAGATCATTTGATTAAGGCCTTGTCTTCCAGGTCTAGATCAAAGTATTGCCCAAGAAAAGAGCTTGTAAAAGGAGTCTTTCATCCTCTTGATGTAATTGTTGTCTCTGAGGTTTATTGCCTCAGTCTGCTAACCTAGGCCTAGATCTGGAAGCTTCTAGCCACCATACAATCTAATTAGGCCTAAAATGTTTTCAGCCTCTGAGACTTACTGCTGAATAAGCTCACCCCTTGTAGCTCTTTCTGAACTCTGGCTGGCTGGTTCAACTCAGCTGTTCTGGCTCAAACTCCTCTCCAAGCTGAATGATTTCATCTGGCTTCTCTCTGTTTCTGACTGAGTAGCTCTGCTTGGACTCAAGCAATCTGTTCTAATCTTCTGACTCAACCTAACTGCCAGAGCAGAACTGATTAAAACTCAGCAGATCTGCATGCCTCTGTCTCCTGAGTGCTGGAGAGGTCTGCCACACCTGGACCTTTCCTTTACCTGAAACTTACTCTACACCAGTCTGGCCTTGAACTCAAGACATCTGCTTGCCTCCGTCTCCTGGGACTAAAGGTGTGTCTGTATTCCATTTGGATCACACAGACCTACAAGGATGTGATCTCTTGTCAGAGCAGCCATGTTCTGAGTTAAAAATTTGTCTACAGGAGCTATGTTTTCTTTTAATGTTATAACACTACAACCCACACACCACAGTGACTCAATAGGCTTTAGGGCATGAATGAATGAATGTTCCTCGTGATCCTCTAGCTTCTGCACTGTACAGGGTCTTACCACCACCAAACACAACATTTTCAGACTCATTTTGTCTTCCTGACACCAACCCATTCTGGAAATGGTATGTATGTCCTTGAGATGGAACTGTCTACCTCAGACATGTACGTGTATGAAACACAGCATGCTTGCCTGACCCTCCATGTGGTATGGGTCTGATTCTGCTTCATGTATGCGTTTCCCATGCTCCCCATGCATCCAACTGGATTAAACACAAATTAAGGAATTAATAAGAATTCAGGGTACATGGCATCCCTCACCATAGACGTTTTCCATGAGATCCTTAGTGAAGTTTGTGAGCTGGCTCTGGGGGAACAAGGTGGCTCCTGCATGGTCAAGGTAAACAGTCCCTGGAAAAAAAAAAATCACAAGTAAACCTGTAGGCTTTTCTCCTCCATCCAGTCTTTCAGTCAGCTCATGTTAAAACTGACTTGTGTGAACACATTGGTACCTATTCTTTTGTTTCTGTGTGTTTGTTTTTGACACTTGGCCTCACATACCCCATGCTGCCCTCAAATTCTCTATGTAGTCAAGGATGTCTTTGAGTTTTTGATCCTTCTACCTCTCCAGAGCTGGGATTCCAGGAGTGCAGTGCTACACCCCCGCCTCCCCCGTCTCAACACCTTTCAACACAGCTCATAGCCCCAAACCTCTTGATGTGCGTTCCTTAATATAAGCACAGAAGCCAAGGAGCCTACTTGATAAGAAGTCTTCTTACCAGCCTGGAAAGACGGCCCACACAGGAAGTGCCTAGCAGACCTTTGTGACAAAGGATGAAACAGCAGCCTCACACTCTCTCACACCCTGCTCTGGAAGCTGTGTGCTTCCAGGAAAGGTGAGTCCTGGTCTTTCTTTCCCATAGTCCTCAAGCCTAGCCTCACCAGTACAGCATTAGAGAAGATAAAGGGGAGAAGCCATCCTTTCAGCCTTGCCCCTGAAGACAGAAGACAAACTCAGACCAATGGGAGATACTATGATCTACCAATCAGATTGGCAGAGATCAGAAGAGTAGTGCCTGCCTGTGGGGCAAGGTTGCCACAGGCAGGCAATGGCACATGGCTGACAAGAGGCGGAGTGGGTGCAGCTTCATGGAATAACACTTGGGCAGCGTCAGTCACACTTTAAATGAAGTGGTCACTGTGCCCCAACAGTTCCTTCTGCAGGTGGATCTCCTGGGATTTTCTGAAATGACTTGCATGTGAAGATACTCACTGCAGCATTATAAAATCACAAGGCTGAAATGGAAAGCCCATTAGCATCTATTTCAGATAAGCTCAGCTCACACCTATGTCTTTAAGATCCCATCTCATGTCAGTACTACTTCAAGAGTACTGGCAAGAGACAGGAACTGATATGAGATGGGGCCTAAGCTCAGTTGCAGAAGTACTGGCCAAGCAAGTATGGGAATCCGACTTTGATCTCCAGACTCCACGCTTGTGATCCCACCACTGGGCAGGCAGAAGCAGGCAGATCCTTGGGGCTTCCTTGTCAGCCATCCTGCTCTAATCACAGGCGCCAGGATGAACACACACACACACACACACACACACACACACACACACACACACACACGGTCTCAAATAATCAAGGTGAATGGTGCCTTAAAAATCCACAGGTTGGTGGGGCATAGTATCGCATGCCTTTAATCCCAGCACACGAAAGGCAGAGGCAGGCAGATCTCTGTTAGTTCAAGACCAGCCTGGTCTACAAAGGGAATCCAGGACAGCCAAGGCTACACAGAGAAACCCTGTCTCAAAAAAACAAAACAAAACAAAATGCTCTTAACAAGTGTTCACACACTCCTGTAAACCTACATTCGTGTGCACGTATGGGTGTATGTGTGTGTGTGTGTGTGTGTGTGTGTGTGTGTGTGGAATGCACACACACACAGAGAGAACTTACATGAAGCAAATTCTGAGATACTATTTCAAATTTATAAAATATGAATAGATCTATTTTTAATTCGCTTCACAGGGTTGTTGTTGTTGTTGTTGTGCAGGGTAGATTTTTGTTTATTTTACAATAATTTCAAGGAGGTATACCCCACATACCCTAAAAATCCATCCTCTGTAGGTATACTGTTTAGTGGTCGTGGCGTGCTTACATAACCTAATCCTGGACCATGTTTACTCACCTCCCCTCAAAAAGATCATAGTCAAGTCTCCACACTCTCTGCTAAGAAAGGTGTCTGAAAGTGTGAAATATTACAGTTCACCTTCACCGAAAAAGGGGACACATGTGTAAACACACTGCTGACCGCCACTGGCCCTGGGGTGGCAGTGGGGACTGCAGTTGGAACCCATGGGAGGTTCCTTGGCCATTTTCCTATCTCATTTGTCATCTTTTGAATCTGATGCCATTAAAACATATCACCTAATCTCCCCCCCAATATTTCTGAAGTGCTTTCTTGGATAATCATGGTCCAGATGGCCCCACACCCACAAGCAGGTGGTCAGCACAAACCAAATTCAGTGGATGAGAGAGAGAGAAAGAGGGGAACACAGAGGTCAGAGGGTGTGGGAACAGGGAGGTTGAGTCTGGGAGAATCTAGGGGAGATGTGGAGAGTGACTATAACCAAAACACATTGTATGAAATCCTGAAAGAATTAAAAACATCATCTTTAAAAAATAAAATAATTCTTTTACTGAAGATTGTGAAATAAAAGCTCACTAAACTAAAAGAAAGACATTGGTCATCCAACAGTCAATGCACAAAGAGTTCACGTGAGAGCATGAGTGATGGCTCCTCTTCAATTCCCAACACTGAGATGGTGGCTTAAAACTCCAATCCCAGAGGATATAACGCCCTCTTCTGGACTCCATAGGCACCAAGTATTCATGTGATACATGGACACATATGCCAGACCAAATATCCATACACATAAAATACATTTTTAAATTTTCATTATAATTTTTAAAAAGATGTTCAAGTAATGATCCAATGCACAGTAAAATGTAGAGAAATTTTTATTCAGAACATGGCTGCTCTGGCAAGAGATCACATCCAAAGACTGTCTAGGCCTGTGTGATCCAGCCGGAATACAAACTCACTTTTAATCCAGGAGACAGGCAAGCAGATCTGAGTTTAAGGCCATTCTTAGGTCTAATCATGGTAGTATACACCTTTAATTCCAAACAATAAAGGTAAAGTTAGTTTGTAGAAGTAAGTACCCTTGTTGGAAAGTGATAATTAATTGAGTGGCAGAAAAAGTGATGAATCAGAGAAGATTTAACAGAATAGGATATGCTCAACTCTCACAAGAACAGAGAGGAGAGGGAAGCTAGTTAAAGGATCAACACAGAGAATGAGAGAGAAGAGGCAGTTTTACTGGGAGAATTTTGCAGAGAGAGCCTGAATGAGAGAATAAGCTAGACATAAATGAAGACAGAATGAGCCAAAAAAATGAGAAGGAGCCAGAAGATTAGAAGATTGCTGAAGTTAGTTTGAGGCCACGCAGAGCAATTCAGGGGCCTAGAGAGAAACCAGATTGAATAAGTCAGCTGGGAGAGGAGTTTGGGCCATAACAGCTGAGTTAAACCAGCCAGCTTTGAGTTCAGAAAGAACAAGGGTGAAGTTATTAAGCAGTAAGTCTCAGAGGCTGAAAACATTTTAGGCCTAGGTTAGATTGTAGGGAGGCTAGAGGCTTCCAGGACTAGGCCTCATTTTGCAGACTTGAGTCAATAATCCTCTGAGACAACAACTGAAACAGGTGAATAAAAATGCCTTTTACAGTGAGACCCAGGCTCTGAGGAGCACTGTGCCTGTTGCCCAGAATCTTCCCACGGGCTAGGAAGCCAACCAGGAAGACCCTGCTTTGTTCAGCTTTGGCTCACCAGTTAATCTTGCAAAAGAAGACAGCTGAGTTAGGGGAACCAGACATCTGATCTTAGGCCAAGAGTGCACATCAAAATCAACAGGCCAAACTGAATCTTGCCCTCCCCCACCAGCCACTCTGGACCCCTGTTCTGACATCTGCAAGTGGGGTGGTGTTAGTAGGTATTTGACAGCACCCAGATGGATGCCTGGAGCACAGCAGACACTCCACAGAATTCACAGTGAAGAAGAGCAAGCAACTGGTCCGAAGAGCCAACCAGCATTAGGTCTTCAAGAAAGAGAAGTCAAACAACTTTTATTTTCTTTGACATTCCTGGCTGTCTCATTGTCTGTCTGGTGCTAATTAATTAGTATTTAGAGATAGAGATAGAGGAGAGAGAGAGAGAAGAGGTAGAGGGAAAGGGAGAGAGAGGGAGGTAGGAGGAGAGAAGGGGAAGGAGAGTCCAGGCTCTCTTCTGGGCAGTGCACTTCTGATTGTCAGTCAGCACCTGATGCTGGAAGAACAGCTTGGGCCACAGCTGGACAGTCAGCACAGTCTTTTGCTAAGACCAGGAAATCCCTGTCTAGCTAGTTAGGCAAATCTGAGCTCCTACAGTTTATACGTTTAATTGCTCAAAGCCACATGTAAGCAGGTACATTTTCAACCCTGCAGAAACTCTCCAGGGAGGGAAAGAAGGGATCTGGGTCAGACCACTTTGTTCTGTTGGGTTGTTTCTTACTTCCCTGACCTCTCTCCAGTTTGTTTGTTTGTTTCTATGCGGAGGAAAGGTGAATATTCCCCCCCCACCCCAATATTTCAGAGGTAGGAGAAGGTTCCTGTTTAGTTCACGGAAGTCTGCTTCATGGGTGGAGAGATTTCTTGATGGGTAGAATGCTCACCATCCAAGTTTGAGGCCAGAATACCATCCCTTAGATGGGCATACAAAAGCCGAGCCTGGTGGTGCCCACCTGTAATGTCACTGCCGGAGAGGGAGACAGGGGTTTGTGGGCCACCCAGCCTAGACAGTCAGCAAGCTCCCCACCAGGAGAGGCCCTGTCTCAAGAAGTAAGACAGAGAGTGACAGAGAAAGACACTGTTGTCATCCTCTCCTCTCGTCTCCATACACATGTACCAACAGAAGCATACACACACATAGTGTATTTCAAGCCAGGCATGGTGGAGACAGAGGCAGATGATCCCTGTGAGTTCCAGGCCAGCCAGGACTACCCAGGGAATCTCTCTCTCTTGTCCTCCCCAACCCCTCTGAGCAGGGGAGGGGATGGAGGTCTACTTCAACCACAGTGGATCCAGGGAAGTCACTAAATAAAGGCCCCATCTGGGTACAGTGGCCCTCACCTGCAATCCTACCACTTGAGAGGCTGAGACAGGAAGATCAGCACAATACTGAGGCCAGCCTGGGCTACGTAATGAGTTCCAGGGCCGGGCACAAAGTGAGACGGTCTGAAAAAAAAAAGAAATTAAAAAAACTACATACCATCACGTGGGTGTTAAAAGGCTTTAAAGGTCAGCCTGGAGGACTGGCTGCTACAAGCTAAAGTCAAGTTTGGGTACTGTTCTCTGAGGGGAAGGAGTGGAGCCAGGAGGCACCTGAATAGACCTTTACATTAGGGTAGTGTTGAGGGTGTGAGAGATCAAGGTTGGAGAGGATCTAAGGAGATTAGGTAACAGAGTCACTGAAATGATTATTCGCTGGCTCCGGGATTTGCTCCAGAGACAGGTCTAGCTGCCCTTTGCACCTGTGGGTACTTCTGTTTTCTGTTTGGGAGGAAATTTCCATAGCAAAGGCAGAGCAGACTGGAAGGAAGGGAGGCCCCAAAGAAGTTAAGGGGCTGTCTCCAGCCAGTGACAAGGCACAGTGAAGAATGGAGAGCAGTAGGTAGGAAGACCCTCTACAGAGTAGGAACAGAGAGACAGGGAGGAGGCCACACCTCCCCACGCCCCCAAAGGAAAACCAGTTGTTATTCCAAATGAGGAAAGGACACAGAGCGGGGCAGACACCTGAGGGAGCAAACCCATGTTCTTGCTCCAGGGTGGGTTCTGAAGTTTGATGAAGAGCCCCCCTTCCCAGTCAAGGTCCGTGACCGAAGGCGAGTACCTGACCTGCAGCAGCGGGCTGGGCTCAGCTACACCTGCAGTTAATCTGAGCTTCACTGCCAACTCAATCAACAGGTTCTACCTTGTGAGTTCAAAAGAAGTAATCCCCGGCCAATTCACGGGCTCAGCTTGTTCTTAAAGTTCAAATCGCATGCTTCTCTTATTCTTCCAGCTTCGCAGCAAGCTAGAGCTCACACAGAGCATTGTGGAGAAAAATGAGGCTTGGTGCCAAGCGAGTCTGGGGCACGCCTGTAAGCACAGAGTTGCAGAGGCAGAGGAAAAAGAGGATCAAAAATTCGAGGCAAGCCTCGACTACAAAGCGAGTTCAAGACCAACCTGGACTACATGGCCACACGGGACCCAGTTTAAAACGCCAATAGTAATAGTAGTAATAAAAAAAATAATAATAATGTTTCGAAAAGACTACTGACATCCCTAGGAAGAGAGGGGCATGGCCTCGCGAGACCTGTCTGGCTAATTGATGGCGCTCGCAGCAGAGCCGCTTTTCCAACCACTTGAAAAGCACCCCTGCCCAATAAATTGTGTGACCTCGGCTACGGTGAGGTCTTTAGGGTCGGGTATTCTCCCGGCATTAGAGGGGGTGGGGACAGAGAGAAGGTAAGCTCTGTTTGCGGTGTGTGGTGAGACGCCGGGCGCCACCGATCAGTCTACGCAACAGTGACAGCGAGAAGTCTTGCTACTGCGGATGGGACCGCGGGGAGCCGCCGGCACCCAGCAAGGGCTCGCACTCGCTCCCCGACTTTCGATTCCCTAGGAGTCCATCTCTTATTGACCCTTTGGCTGAGATCGAGTGCAAAGCGCGCCCCACATGAGACGGCGAGTCCCACGCGCGGGTTCCAGCCCCGCGCGTCCCTCGAACCCGTGCCTCACCTGCCAGGCGGCCGAACTCCAGGTCCCGCAGCTCGCTCAGGCTGCGCAGCCCGTAGCCGTGGGCCAGGGGCGGCGCGCTGGCTTCTGTACGGCGCTGGAAGGCCGGAGGTTCGGGTCCCCGCTCTGCGGCCACGCAGGCCATGGCCCTCCGCCCCAAGTCTTCGGGGGTCCAGGCGGCCCAGCCCGGGAAGTGCGCGAGGCCGGCGACTCCGCCGGGGCCGACCCGTCGGTGACTCGGGTCCCCACCCAGGGGCGGTGCCTCGAGGCCCGGCCTCCTCTCGGCGGCGTGCTGACTCACCGAGCGCTTTCACTTTGGGGCGGCCTTTGCCCACCTGGAACGGGACCCGGCGGTCTCCCATCACTGTCCAGCGGGTGACATCCAAAACACCTGGGCGCCAGTCCTGGGCTATCTAAGCGGAGGGAACCACGGAGTGCGAGCCTTTCTCGCTGGGGGCGTGTGTGACCCCTGGGTCCTCCTGGCCCAGAACCTGGGACCCTCGCCCCCTGGGCTCCAGGCGCGAAAGTGTGTAAGCCGCTTGGACTGCTGTGGGCGCCTGCACTCTGCGTTTCAGGGGAAAATCAATGGTCTGCTTGATAAACTCCCAGTGATTGTGCAACGTCGGAGCGTGGAAAGCTCTAGGATGACACAGCTCATGGCCTGGGCCCTCCCTCCTGCACCCCGATGGCTCAGAGCACTGCTGGGAGAGCCAGGCAAACCCACCAGTGCAGAGTTGGGGGCGGGGCGGGGGAAAGAGCTGGGAAGTGACAGGTGCTCCAAGCGCCGCCTAGATCTGAGACAGGGGGGGGGGGGTCCCCCCCCCCCCCCCCCCGTCACTGCTGACCTGGGAAGACATGGGAATGTGAACTCTTGCAAGGCGCAAGTGAGGAACCAAATTTGGAGGGCATCACTGCAGAACAGTCCTCAGGAATTGCGTGGACTGAGGGACTTGGAAAGAGACTCACGTCTCTACGTAAAGAAGGACCCAGACTGAGGCCCAGAGCAACAGCTGGGTGACCACGCCCAAGCCTGAAACCTGGGTCAAGGCAAAGGCAAAAGTGGGGTGATTGATGATGATAGAGAAGCCAGTGGTAAGTGCGACTCCTAGTCTGGTGCTGCTTCAAAGGTTGGGCGAGAGGTTCCTGGCCCGGAACAGTGAGGTTATACGAGGTCCAGATAGCGCAGCAGGAGTGGGATTCGGGGACAAATGGGGCTCCTTTGAGGCCACTTAAATGGAGAGTGTTAATCAGTATTCAAATATGATAGCGTCTGAGGCTAGAGACAAGACACATGCAGTGCCTGTGGAGGGCACCTCAGGAACTCAGGAAAGAGAGCAGAGTGCTGACAGCGGCACAGAGAAAGTTAGTATAAAGGGGAGAACCAGAGGACAGGCCTAGGGAGGGGCCTGTGAAGGGTCAGCATAACTTAGTTAAATGGTTTATGTGACCTAGTGAGGACAGTTCTGACACACTACGAAACAGCCTCTTTGTAAGGGCCAACTCAGATAGAGAAGCAAGGTAGAGGCCTTCCCACTCACTAATTAGCCCCAGGCCTTTGCCTATCCGTCTTGGAAGAAGTTGGGGGCCCAGGTCTATCGTCATGAATCAAATCTCCGAACATGTTGTCATGACACTTGAGTGGGTGTTGCCTACAAGAGCAAATTCCGTTTAGATCATGCAAGTAATTCTTTATGTCCACCTAAGTAGCCTGTACCTTCCCAAAAGAGAAGCTGCCAGTCTAGGTATCAGGGTAGTTGGGAAATCAGAAGAGGGCCAGTTGAGCAATGCAGCAGCTTTCTCTCCAAAGCCCAGCAGTTTGCTACAGCAGAAGCAGACTGAACTAGACAGAAAAAAGAAAAGAAAAGAAAAGAAAAGAAAAGAAAAGAAAAGAAAAGAAAAGAAAAGAAGAAAACCAAAAAAACAGGAAGCTCCCTCTCAGAGTGACTGGAGAGAACTTTTCTGCTGGTAGACAGAAAGGGCAGCTTGGAATCATAAAGAGACTGGAAACAAGGGTCCATTATACTCATATTCATACTGTAATATTCAAAACAAAGCCCATGAATCGTAGCAGAGCAGAGCCTGCAGGGTGGGTACGTCCATATTAGCTCCCCCGCCCGGCGATGTTTCTTCCTGGGAGTTGGACTTCCTGTGTATCCATCCAGAAGCCATCCCCCCTCTCTTCCTCCCACTCTTTGATATTAGTCATCCTGCAGAGCAACTGACAGGTAACATTTGAGGATGCTTCCTGCTGGGTTAGGTGCAGTGTTGAACAAAAGAAAGCCACTCTGGGGCTGAGGCTCAGTAGTAGAGCCCCTTCTGGCATGGGAAAGCCCTGGATTAGAACCTCAGCACAGTAGGGGAATAGGGGGAGGGAAGCAGAAAGAAAGACAGGCTAAGATAACAGCGAAAACTCTGACTCAAAAACCCAAGTGTCTGGGGGCGGAAGAGTCTTTTCCCAGCCTCTCTTTCCACTGAATACAGCCACAATCCTAAATTCTGGCCAAAGATACTGGACAGAACTATGTGAGGCTTCCAAGAAACCGCCCTTAGTGAAGGGAAGGTCTTTCTCCTCTCTTCTGGCTGGAATGCAGAGATCATGGCAGGAAGCCACACACCTCGATGGTGGAAGAAACAGGGCAAATGAAAAGCCTGGGTGTCTGGTGGTGTTGAGAAACTCCCTACCCATTCTGGGCTGCCTAAACTGACTCCTTTGTTTGAGAAATAATCTATCTTGTATAAAGATTGTGAAAAACAATTTTTGCATGTTCTTTCATACACAATTGATGTGAAAACCAGATCAACACTCTAATACTCTTTCCAGTCACAGAGATGAAGAGAAAGCTTGCCTATAGTGGGTCGGAGGCCAGGGTGAGCCCAGATGCAAACCCACATCCACTGATTCCTCAAATGAAGGTTCTGAGCCACACCTAAGTGGCCTTCAGGAATACAGAACTCAGTAAAGCGAATTAGCTGGACAGTCTGTGGCCACTCAGTGCAGGGAGCCCTTGAGAGAGCTGGCAGAGCTAACACTTAGATCCCAGGAGGATGCCTTCAGCCTCGGTTCCAAAACTCTAGGTCCACTGGATTGTGGGGTTCATTGTTCTCTGGGATAAAAGAGCAAGGGGGATCCTGGGTCTGTAAGAGTTGGAGTGATAGTGACCAGACACAGTGATAGTGGGCGACTTCATTACTCCACTCATGCCAAAAGACAGTTCTTCCAGACAAAAACAAAACAGAAATGATGGAGTTAAATAACATCACAAATCAAAAGGACCTAGCAAATATTTACAGAAGATGTTACCACGCAAAAAAGAATATGCCTTCTTATTAGTAGTTCATGAAACTTTCTTCAAAATTGACCGGATACTTGGACACTAAGGAAGTCTCAACAAATACAAGAAAATTGAAATAACACTCTGCATCTGACCATTACCAGTTAAAGCTAGACATCAACAACAGAAGCAGGAAGTATACAAACTTACAGAAACTGAACAACTTGCTACTGAATTTTAAAAAGGGGGTCAAGACAATTTAAAAAGGGAATTAGAAACACTTTAGAACTGAATAAAAGTAAAAATAAAAGACCCAAGCCTATTAACTAACAGAAATGTTAGTTCTAAGAGCACTAGGAATTCTAAGAGTTCATCCCTAAGTGCCTACATTAAAAAAAAAAAAAAAAAAAAAAAAAATGGAGAGATCTCACATTAGTAACTTAATGGCACACCTGAAAGCATTAGAATAAGAAGATGAAATAACACACAAAATGACCAGATGGAAAGAAATAATCAAACTCAGAGCTGAAATCAATAAAATAGAAAAAAAAATACAAAGAATCAATGAAAGAGTTGGTTTCTTCAGAAAATCAATGGGATGTATAAACTCCCCTGCACCTTGCCTGGGCAGCACAGTAGGGCTGACCTTGGTGGCAGCGGTGCTGTGAGCCTGCAGCGAGGGAGAGCTGGCCATGCCCCTCATCTGCTGTGGGGTGGTGCCAGCTGGGGAGAAATGCCCTCCCCCTTTGCCCATCACTGGCATGGGAGAGCTAGCCCTACTCCTCACCGTTGCAGTGCTCAGGAGAGAGGGCCCTGCACTCGCCTGGTCAGCACAGAAGCTGGCCCTAGTGGCAAAGGCTGAGGTGAGCCGGCCTGAGGGCATGAAAGAGGAAGAGCTGACCCTACCCCTTGCCAGCTAGCACTGGGTAAGCTAGCAGGGGCAGTGCTGGTGAGCTTGCCCTGGTGGTGCGGGTACAGAAGAGCTGGTGGGCTGACCAAGTCAGCTACCTCCCAGGCCCAGATCCAGGGCTTTGAGTTGGCCCACCCCAACATCTATCACACCTGTGATCTGCTAGAGTACATGAAAGGGCTACTCCTACAGATCCAAAACGCAGGATCTCCATGACATTGGGCAACAACAGTCTAGCCAGGAGGAGTCCCAGTGAGGATCCAGTGTTAATAGTGTAGCAGAAGCCGGAAGACTTGAACCGGACCAGTGACTCACTGCAATGAACGTTTGCAAGATGTGTGGATAAAAGGGTATACTGTGTGACACCGTGACACTAGGCCTTTCATGACAAATTTTTTTTCTATCTTATTTTCTTTTATAAGGAAGGTTGCAAGGGCAGAGGAAAGATATAAAGGAAAGACGAGTGGGTTAAAAGTTTAAAAAGAAAGACTGATAAACTCTTAGCCAAATTAACTAAAAGATGGAAAGAATACCCAAATTAATAAAATCAGAGATGAAAATGGGAAAAGCACAACATACACTGAGGAAATCCAGAATCATAAAAAAAAAAAAAAAAAAAAAAAAAAAAAAATAGCCCACCAAGTTGGAGACCTAATAAAAATGGAGATTTCTTAATACATACCACCTACCAAAGTTAAATCAAGATCAGATAATCAATTTAAATAAACTCACAACTGTGGGGCACATGGAGAGCACCACAGGGAATCTGGCATGGAGCTAGGTTGAAGTGGTGATGTATCTTAAGATTGGAGGAGCAAGGATTGCTCTTTCCCTGTTCGGTGCCAGCATGCCTCAACCCCCTACCTCCGCAGTTCTCATGTAGCCTGGCACCTAGAATTCCTGTTCATGTAAATAAAGCATTGTCAGCATCTTAGCCCTAGCCAATGAAATGGAGTTACCCTAAAAGTCCCTTACTACTCCCCAATGTTCACATAACCCTTGTTCACCCCAAAAAATAGACACAGTTGTTTCAATATCGTCTAAGAATTGCTGTTTCCTTGGGAGGACTCCTGTTAAAGAGCTGCTTTGAAGAAGGCTTTCTCTCTACAAGCATTTACCACCAGACCAGGACCCTCTGGCCTGCCCGCTGGCTAGCCTTTGTTCAGCCATCCTGTGCCTGGAAGAGAAGAAGCGGATGAATGACTGCTCCCTACAGCACTCCTCCAGACCAGAATCTCTTAGACTCCCTTGTTCAGGCTCTGCCTCATCTTTCCCATCACTCCGTGGTGCCTGAACACCTGGAGGAAGGAAGTGGAGCACAGAACCTCACACAACCCCTGGTTAAAAAGAAGCAGTAATCAAACATCTCCCAACAACA